GAATCAAAAAGACAAGAAACAAGCGTTGGAGATATCACCCCACACCTCTCAGAATGGCTAGAATCAAAAAGACAAGAAACAAGCGTTGGAGATATCACCCCACACCTCTCAGAATGGCTAGAATCAAAAAGACAAGAAACAACCGTTGGCAAGGATGTAGAGAAAAAGGAACCCGCGTACAATGTTGGTAGGAATGCAAACTGGTGCAGCCACTGTGGAAAACAGTATGGAGGTTCCTCAAAAAGTTAAAAATAGAATTACTATATGATCCAGTAATTCCACTACTGGGTATTTATCCAAAGAATACAAAAACACTAATTGGAAAAGATTATATGTACCACTATGTTGACTGCAGCATTATTTACCATAACCAAATTATGGAAGCAACCCAAGTGTCCATCAGTAGATGAATGGATAAAGGTCTAGTATATATACACAATGAAATATTACTGAGCCATAAAAAAGAATGAAATCTTGCCAGTTGCAACAACATGAATGGATCAAGAGGATATAATGTTAAGGGAAATAAATCAGTTAGACAAATACCATTTGATTTCACTTATATGTGGGATTTAAGAAACAAAACAAACAAACAAAGAAGAGACAAACCAAAAAGCAGACTCTTAACTATAGACAACAAACAGATGGTTAGCAGAGGGGAGGTGGGTTGGGGGATGGGTGAAATACATGAAGGGGATTAAGAGTACACTTATCATGATGCGCACCAAGTATTGTATAGAATTGCTGCATCACTATATTGTACACCTGAAACTACTATAATACTGTATATCAACTATACTAGAATTAAAAATAAAAATTAATTAATTAACATATTTTTTAAAAAGTAAGAAAGAAAGAAGAAATGAGGAGGACTGACTTAAGGGTCTATAGATGACTAGCTAGTGGCATAGACTAGCAAGATGAGATTCAAAGACAGTTTAGGAAGATGGGAGGAAGAAAGATCTAAAGGCAGCAACTGGTTTTCAAATGTTTTAAAATGCACCTGGGAATTGGTTTTATTCAGGTGTGCCAAGCCAAATGATTAGGAAATGACTGCCATTGAAAAGATAGTTTGTAATTTGCAGTCCCCAAGCAGAGAGAGGCACACCACACCAGTAATGGCCACATGGGGAAGCAATAGGGCTGGTCTGGAAGCAGGAGGTAGAGCAAAGCACAGGCAGAAGCCTTTATTATGTTTTCTGTGAAGAGGAAGGAGTGGGGCAAGGTAAACAACTGAAGAAGCTTAATATTAGCTTCAATAATTGGGGCTGGAGGTGGGGTGGGGAGGGGTGGGGGTGCTCTGGGCTATGAGGATGATCTTTAGTTGCCTGGTATTTGGCCCTGGGAAGATTAGGGCAGAGGAACATTGCCTTGCGGAGAATACGAACCAGAGTGAGGAAGTGGGGGTGTTGGGATGGATTTAGGATGACCTGACCCTAGGAGGAGTAATCTCTGCCCAGTCAGTGAGGCCCCAGATGCCAGACCATCAATAATACAGAAAATAAGAAAATATAGTTAAATACAGTGAATACAACAAGACACCTATCCCACCCACTTCCAGCCCTGCTAGTATAAGAAATGTGAGAGAAAATACCCATTACCTGAAAAAGCTGCAGGGGAAACAGAATCTTTTGTTCTGTGCTGTTCTATGCGTTTATACCTTCCTGACAAGTTATCTTAGCATCCCCCAGTTAACTGATGTTAAGTTGCAAATTCAAAGGTCATTCCTCTTAAAAAAAAAAAAAAAAAAAAAAGACTATGGAACAAACAATTGAGTGAAAAGAAAAAAAAGGTCTTTCCTCTTTTCTTTCCTCACACACACGCACACACACATACACACTCTGACACCTACAACGGGGTAGGTCTTCTTGGAAAATCGAAGATTTTTATACTAAGTTGAATTTTTGAATTTTAATCACGAGGTCATGAAGCAAGAACTATTTTCCACTGCCAATCATTTGAATCATGTATGATGCTGCTGTATATAAAACAATTTTTCACAGACTGTATTTCCCACTCTAACTCAAGTGCATAATACCAAAGGACTCTACAGTAAGTAGCAATATAACAATATTTCAAAAATTTTATTGGTTATCTAAAGAGAAAGGATGTGCAATAAAGCCACTAATAAGAACTGAATTTCATAAGTAAAATTTAAAAAATTTTTTCAGAAGTTTCACTGAAAAAATTAATCTCAATATTTTATATTATAATTCTCTCCTTATACTTTATATTAATATAGATGAAATTTCAATGCACTCTGCTAAAAAAAAGGGGGGTACATCACAAGCACTTTCTCTGTGCAGGACACTATACGAGATACCATAGAGGATGTTCACATCAATGAGATGATCTAATTTCAAGGAGCTTATATAACCACAGACATACATGACTAACCTAATACAAAACAAAATATGATTAAGTGCTTAAAATAGAGGCCTGTGAAGTGCTATGAAGCACAAAGCCATCTACTCCAACCTCCTTGTTCTAAATATGAGAAAACTGAGGCTTAAAGAAATCATAAAACAAGATAATGCACAGCTGGGAGGCAGATCTCTGCCTTGTTGCCAAGTCCAGTGCCTTCTCCACTCTACCATGCTGTCTCTTAAGCTTTTTTTCCTATTACTTTTAATGACAATAAATAAAGAAAAATATTGATATAGTTTCTTCCTTTCTCTGATATATGAAAATTTGACATATCCTATGCATCTTCATCTAAACATACACTCAAGGGGAGCCTGGCTGGCTCGGTCAGTAGAGCATGCAATTCTTGATCTTGGTCAGGGTTGTTAGTTTGAGCCCCACATTGGGTGTAGATATTCCTTAAAAATAAAATAGTTTTAAAAAAGAAGAAAATAAAATAAAAATAAACATACACTCAAGAAATATATCACTTCATAAAGCCTACACAGGCCTACTACTATAAATAACTTATGAAAATGTATTCAGTGCTTACTGTATGCCAAACCACTGTGCTTTATAAGCATCTAATTTAACCCATACAATAACACTTTAGATAGGTATTGTTATTATGTCCATTTTTCAGATGGACATAACAGTAAGTGATTAGTCAACGTTCACACAGTTAGAAGTGGTAGGCCTGGCTTGACTACAGAGCCTGGTCCTTAGAACAATGCCAATATACCACCAACTAGGAAAAAAAAAAAAAGTATACATTTTAAAACTGATAGTCGGAACTCAATGATGAGCCTATGATCTATACTGGGAAATGATAATGATTTTTTAAATCACACTTAGAGTATCTGTTTAAATTATGTCATATTATTCTTACACACAAGGTAAGTCAAGGGTAGACAATTTTCCATTTATGCATATAGGAGTTTCATATAAGAAATTCTGAAATAATAAAGAAGTCAGATCAGAGCATGTCAGAGCATTTCAGAGCATAAAAAGAAGAAAAATAAACCAAATCACACAAATATACTTAACATTTAATTATCCAAAAATAATTTTCTACACTAAAGTCAGTATGATTTGGATTATAGGCAAAATGTATGTCAGCAAATAACTAAAAGACTAGCATCAAAAAACACTGAGGATCCAGAATATAAAAACACAAAAATCCAACTTTGAAAAAGCCAGTATTGGCTTTAAAACTTAGTTCCACATTTACTTGTCATCATTTAGCACTCAAATCAAGAGCCACTAACCAGTACATACCTAGCCCTTTACACAGGGCCTTGCCCATTATAGGGCACAAATAGACACCTGCTGAGTAAGTGTATGTGATGGGTGGTATGAGAGAAAGTCATTAAAATATCATTTAGAACAATACCGACTTCCATATGTTGGAAAAAGGGAAGAAATTATGGTAGGTCAGGATTTAAAAAACTGAAATGAAATACAAATAAACACTTCCAGATTTACAAACATAAAAATCTTAGTGAATTTCTATGGTGCTTATTAGGTGCCATTTTACACCTGACGAAATTCCAGGCAGAGAAGGATTAAGTTTGAGGCACACAGCTACGAAATGGCAGAGCAGAGAATTTGAACTCAGGCGTTCTAGCCTTAGAGTCCATGTCATTTAAATGTCATAAGTCTAAAAGACATTTAATTTTGAGAAACTACATTAGAAAATACTTCCCTTCTGGATACATTTAGCAAAAATGAGGTCAAATCATTACACATATGTGCAGATAATAGTAAAGCATTAAAATAAAATTCTATTCAATTAGAATGGGTATTAAACTAATTTCTCCCATTATTTAGGTGGTAAAAATTCGTGAATTCACGAGTTCAATGGATGTTCTATTTTCAAAAATTTTGACCATATGCAAGCCATAAGAATAAAAAGTTATGATCTCATATTTTTACAAACAAAATTTACTTGTTTTGCATACCAATAATAAGGAAGTCAGGAAGTCAGTATATAGCAACAGTTCTTGCATACCAATGATTTTTTCATACCAACAATACAGAAGTCAGTATATAGCAATGGTTCCCAACAGGGGCTAATTCTACCCCCAAGAGGACATTTGGCAACATCTGACAGACATTTTGATTGTCACAACTTGGGAAGTGGTGGGGGGGGGGGGGGGGGGGGCGGGGACTCAGGAAGAATGCTACTGTCATCTAGGGGCTAGAGGACAGGGATGCTGCTAAACATCCTAAAATGCACAGCATAGCACCGACCCCACAACAAAGATTTATCTAACCCAAAATGTCAATAGTGCCACTGTCAAAAAACCTTGGCATGGAGTAAGTCATTCAAATTACTAGAGAACACACCATTTCTCCTCTTTCAGGCTCAATCTCAAATTAGTACTTAGTCTTTCCCAATACTAAACCCCTAATACTCTGATACTCATACTTAGCCTCTACTATTACTAAGAATTTAAATTAATGGATTTTTTTTTAGGTTATAAAACAGATATGAAAATACAAGAAATAAAAACATACACACATATGTGTTGAAAAGGTAAACAGTTGTATATTAGACTTAAATGTAGGAGAAAAAAGATAAAGAAAGCACTTACTGTAAAAATGTTCTAAATTCTGAAGCTTCAAAGTTCTCCACAGCAATAGACTCAAGATTTGTTAAATTATCAGATGTCTGTCCAAAAGTATGAAAATAGAAGTCAGGAACCCTTGCTAAAAGGACTGCTTTGTGTGCTTTGAACAAAGTACTACCTACACAGAAAGTAACATCTGTATGGATTTCTTCCCTTAGGAGCCTGTAATGAATAAAAAGGAACCATAGTTTAATTAGTGATACTCAGAAATATATAATATACCCATTTTTATAAAATAATTTTTCAAAACAGCACGCACTAAAAATACAGAGGTAAGTAACAAAAGTAAAATAGGTTAATATGAAAATGAGTTTGTTCTCAGTTCATTCCAAAGAACACTGTTCAATACCTAGAATCTTATTTTCTAAAATTCATAGTGAAAACAAAGCTAATTACACTAAAAAGAGTAAGACTATTTTTTCAAAAAATATATTTTAATTCCTTCTGGTAATAATAGAACTTATCTTCTGCTATTTATGTTGATTTTTCTTTAAAATGTACCTACTTAAGATTTATTTCAGAAAAAGAACACAAAGTAATATGGTCATTGTTGAAAAGAATATATTTTTAAAAATCTTTTTTTTTTCTAAAGATTTTATTTATTTATTTGACAGAGAGAGACACAGCGAGAGAGGGAACACAAGCAGGGGGAGTGGGAGAGGGAGAAGCAGACTTCCTAGCAAGCAGGGAGCCCGATGCGGGGCTCGATCCCAGGACCCTAGGATCATGATCTGAGCCGAAGGCAGACGCTTAACGACTGAGCCACCCAGGCGCCCCTATTTTTAAAAATCTTACTAAAAGAACAAAAGAAGTAAAATGTCAACAACACAAGCAAGCTGAGTATAACAACAGACAATACAGATTAGAAAATGGTACATTTTGTTCTGACTATTGTTAAATACCAAGTCTGAAATGCAGGCTTGGCCGTCAAGAATGTGACATTTTAAGCCCTTTTCCAGTTTTTTCCTCACACAAATAGAACAAACTATAATCTATTATTAAAACGATGGGCTCATGGGATAACCCATTTAAATCCCTTTACTAACGCACACGGTTATGGTAAAGCCCGCTGATTACATATAAAGTGAAGGAAGAACGGAAATCAGCATCATAATACAAACTGTCATAATCTTTTGTCCCTGTGGTAACTATATATTTCTACTCTCTAAATACTAAATAATACTTCATATCACTGTATCATTATCTTTGGCAAGGTATGTATTCTCAGAGGATTTCCTTATCACAGGATATAACTGGCAATCACACCAGTACACTATAGGAAGTACAACTAATGGATAAAGATATCCATTACAGTGAAAGCTTAGAATGTTGCCACTGACATTCTCATGCCCCCAAGATCAAGTTAATGGCTCCTTCCTCTGATCCCAACACACTCGAGGCATACCTCTATACAGAGCTTCTGTCATTGCATCATTATTTTTTTGAGTCTTTCTCCCTACTAGACAATAAATTCCCAAAGGCAAAAACTGTATATTCAGTATACAGAGCTCAATATCTGCTTGTTGAATTTTGTTGTATTTTACACTAAACAAAACAAATGCTTCAGAGCACAAAACTTTCAGAACCTTGGAAACAATCAGCAAACAGAAGCATTTTAGTCAATATTTTAATCAATAAATTATTTTCATAAGTGGCTTTTAAAGTTATGCAAAAATGTACTGGTCTCTCAAACATTAATAAAAACTCAAATTGCACAAATACTCAATTTATTCCTTCCTCCCACCCACCTTTTCTCTATCCTCCACTCTTCCCCAAGGGAATAAGGAAGCAATGCAGCTGGTAGCCATACAACCATCACTAGGGAACCTGCCTTGTTCTTAAGATATGCTCATGAGTATTTGTTAAATAAAAAAATTTAATGTGTTTAAAAATGTCAGTATGAAAATATAGTGCTTTTTATTTTATAAAACTACTTATCAGTTACAAGTACATCTTGTATGTTACAAGTAACAAAATTATCTGACTCAGACTGGCTTAAATATTAAAGGGGGTGTATTGGCTCATCAAATAGTAAAGTCTAGAGGAAGGACAGGTTGAAGCAAAGGCTCAACCATGTCTAGGTCCAGCTTTTTTCCATCTCATTTCTCTGCCAACTACTGCATTAAGTTATCTAATGCATTTTGGACTGCTGACTATCACTAAAAATGTATTAAGCATGTACTATGTACCAAGCACTGGGTACAGATAGAAGACTAAAACATATGTGCACTCAAGGATTTTACTGAATAGTAGGGAAGACCGGCCTGAAAATTAAAGAGTGTGATATATTCAATAACACAAATAAGTAAAATTTTTTCAGAGATAGGCATAAAAGACCTTACAGAGGACAAGAAAACCAAATGAGATTTCAAAGATCAAATAAGAGTTGGTCAGGGAAGCAAGGCAAGGTCATAGTTAGCTCCTGGCTCCACGTTCCTTGCTAAGGTATGTGTGAGTATGGAACTACGAACTGGTCAGCAGAGAGTACTGGAGGGCTAAGAAGTGACAGATGAAGCTGCTGGGATAAAGACAAATAGGAGGCAAAGAGTTTAAATCCATCTTACAGTTGAAGGCGAATCACCAAATGGACAAATTCATTTTTCAAAATATCACCTATTAGTTGTGTAGATGAGAAATTAGGGGGGAATGAAAATGAAGATGAGAAAATTACTGCACAACGCAGATGAATGATGTAAAGGCTTGAGCCAGGAGAGATCAATGGTGATAGAGACTAGGGAATGGAATTAAAATATACTTTGGTAATAAAATCGGCAGGAGTTGGTGACTGGATGTAGAAGGTGAATGGAAGGGAATAACCTCTCTTTTTTGGCTTGGACAACTGGGTGCTAATGATACCACCAACCTTTACTGTATATCTGCTATTCCCACCTTCATTCTCAACTCCAGACCTATTTCCAGCGGTCTCCTGCATCTGACTTCCTCAACATTCACCATGCTCCTCCCTTTCAAATGCCCTAAGACTTGGCGCCATCTTCTGTGTTTCCCTTCCCCTGTACCTCCACATGTAACTGGTCACTGAGCCCATCAACTGCACATGTGAATCCCTTTCACTTTTTCCATCACCACTGCCATTATGTATCCTTTGACTATCATACAAAATCTCCTAGCTGGTTTCCTTGTTTCTAATTTTCTTCCCTCAAGATCTAAATATCTTAATCTTTGATTTAAAAAACACCAACGCTCTCCACTGCCTCCACAATACATTCCAAACTCTTCACTGAAAAAGAAGGCCTCCATGATCTAGTCTTAAGTTTACCCATTCACCCTCATCTGCTGTCACTTTGGCCATACCAACAATCCCCTCCCAAAAAGCTACTAAATTCATTTATCATTCATATATGGCTCGTCTTTGTAGCACATGACCCTGATGCTCTTAACCACATCTGAATGAACAATGGAATGAGCCAAGGTTAGGCATCAATGTGGTAAACAAGTAAACTCTAGCAGAGATGTTCTACAATAAACAGAAACCGACTGATGACACTGTAAGAGAGTTTCAAAGCAAACCTAAGAGTAAGAAAAAGAAATGGGTAAGGACAGAAGCAAAGATGAAGGAAATAAATTACTGGAAGATCAGTTTGTATAACTACTGCAGAGAAAACTGACTGGGCTCATATTCTGTTTGTGTGAACTTGGGCAAGTCATTTTAACGTTTTTGGAGTCAGAATGTCAAGGTTTTTATTAGGACTCTACCACTTCATGCCTAATGCTCAGTTTCCTTATCTGTTAAATGGGAATAATACTAAGACTTACTTCACAGGGTAGTCAACCCAGCATCTAGCTAATAGTAGAATAAGTTTAGGGTTTTTATTACAATTGTCCTGAATAATGGTCCACTTCTCAATGAGGTCTTACTGTATAATTGCTGTCATATTCCAGTCAACTTTCCAATTCTACATCAGATCTGGCTTTTTGACTACTGAAATAGTTTCCTATTTTACTTCTCCATATACCCTATTATCTCCGGTCACCCAGAGGTGTCTCTGTTCCTTGCTGTTTAAGAATCTAATACAACTTGCTTTCCCAGAATAAATCAAACTCTTTCAAATCTCTGTGCCTTTGTAAAAGACATTCTCTTTGTTTAGATATCCTCTGACTTCTCCCTTCCTAATCTTTACCTAATCAATTTTGAATCAATCCTCAAGAGATCACTCAAACGTCACCCTAAAAAGCCTTCCCCAAACTCACCCCAGTCCCCCTAACTTTTGTTTGACTATTATCTCTCTTACCAGAGTGTAAGCACAACACCAAAGCTATGTCTCATTAATCTTTGATTCTTCAGGACCTAGTACAAATCTAGGTACTTGGTGGGTGCTAGATACTTCATTAATATTTGTAAAATAAATCCATTATATTGCTGTGTTTGAAAAAGATTAATTTGGCACAGCAATTAGGGTGTTGGGTGCACATATGAAGTTTTCTTGTTAAAAAGAAAAGCACTGCCACATTTTTTTTGTTGTTGTTTATAATAGGAACTTGGAAGTTTAGGATCCTATCCTTAATTACTGCTCAGATGAGGATACAAAGTTCACCTACGATGCCTTAATTTCATTTTCTTTATATAAATCAGACATGTTATCTTCCTTAAATTCCTGACACCTTAAGGCTTACAATACAGCCAGGAGAATAAAGCCACTGAAAAGGAGTGCCTTATCCTTACAGATTCAGCCTAGAAACAGAACAACTTCAGTTTTATTTTTCCATCTTTTACATTAATCCCCCACTGGTGGAGACAAAGCAGCATCTCTGGCAGATAAGCCCAAATTAAAGGGAAATTTTTTTACTTTATAGAAAGCACAGTTTAGAGCCACTGAAGGCTAAGTGTAAGGGATAGAAAGTACTTTAAAAAAAAAAAATGTAGAATGCTGCACAGCTATTGGTTATTAGTGGTTATTATGTTTACTCTAATTCAGTAGTTCTTAAAGTGTGACCCAGGCAGCCAGCATCAGCATCACCATTACCTGGGACCTTGTTAGAAATGCAAAAGCTCTCTTCCTAACCAACTGAGTAAGTACTATGGTCCGGGACCCAGTAAATCTAAGTTTTAACAAGCCCTCCAGGTGATTCTGATGCACACTAAAGCTCATGAAATCAGTTTTGGTGGAAATGGCAATTGGCTAGGGAATATTTCTAAGCTTCATTTTCTTTATAAACTGAGAGGTCATTAACTGGATTCACCATAGCCTGAGTTAAGCTTCAGAACAACCCTCCTTATGCTTGCGTCCTCATGGGAGCTGGGAGTAGCTGGGAGCTGTAGAGTGTTCTAGGTGGAGAGGCGAAACCAGTTTGCAATCAGGAAATATTTCTATGTAAGCATTTCTGGTAATTTCTTTAAAGAAAGTTCAGAATTAAGAGACCTCGAAGACTCCACGAATTTGTTCTTTTTCCCTTAATCTAAATATTCATTTTTATACCTAATTTTATCATTTTTCTCAAACTAAGCTTATTTTTTTTAAAAGTGTACGCTTCAGGACCATGAAACCTGGATCCATCCCGACCTTAGCGATACGTCTTTCAAGAACTAAGCCTATTCGTCTCATTGTCATAAACTGGTGCTGCACCTAACTGTGATACTAATTTTGCTTTCCTTTTTTAATCTGGTACGTGCTCTCCTAGGTGCTCGGGATTGGTTTTTTAGGGCGAGGGAAGCCTCTGTAGTGAGGAGACTGGTGCACGTCCCACAAAAGCCTGAGGCGAGGACAACGAGGAGGGGAGGGATGGAGTGGCCGGGAAAGAGCCACAGCTTCTGGGGCGGAGGCGGATGCCTTAAGAACTGAAGCAGCCAGAGTTCCCGCCTCCTCCTACCTGAGCAGATCCTGGCTGAGCTGCTCCGATACCACCGCCTTCAGCCGGCGCCGCTCACAGGGCCCCTTCCTTTGCAACCCCTTACTGCAAACTCCAGGGGACCCCAGAGGTACCACGGGCGCAGCGCCACCCTCCCCACAGCCGGCCATGTCCCACAAAGGTACGGCGACACCCCGCAGGCCCAGTTCAGGATCTCAATCTCCGACTGTGGGAGAAGGGGGCGTTTCCGACCCAACGCTCCGCTCCTACCCGAATCCGCCCCTCAGGGAAAGGTTGACGCCTCTCCAGTTTGCACACGGTCCCTTACAGTCTCGGGACGGCTCTCCGGGGCAATCTGGGAGGTCCGCGCCGACACGTGACCCAGGAAGGGTGTGCGCAGGCGTAGTAGCTCTGTTTACTTCGGCCGGCGGGCACCCCGCCCCCATTGCCCAGGGAACAAACCGTCTCCAGGGAAGTGACCAATCTCTCTGGGTTATCTTCCCTCGATCTCTTTGCGTTGCGGGTGGTGCGTTATAACCATTCATTTTAGTAGATGTTTTATTGCGAGCCGAGTCCAAATTAACCTGCGAGCCTTTCCACATTAAGTCTTCCTGGGGTGTCAGCGCTTTTTTTTCCAGGAAAGAACAGGTTCACAGGACCTTTCCTGTGGCGAGTCACGCTCCCTCATTTTGTTGCTTTGAGCAAGAAAAACTGGGGGTGTGAGGAGCGGGGAAAGAACTTCATAAAATCAGCAAGAGTTAGAACACTCCTGAGTCCCCTGCAGAGGGTGTGTACAGAATCTAAAAGACCCTCATCGCTTCCTAATCCAGGGAGTGACTCATATAACCAACCGCTCAAGAACTTTAGCTGAGCGGTATCAGCTTGTATTCCAGCGTTTTGCCTATAAAGCCATAATATTTATGACGAGGAAGGGAAGAGGTAATTTTGAACATTTTGGCCTGAAGAAAATAGCTGGACTGGATATAATTTAAATATCTTTTGGTATTTTTAAACTTATTTCCTCCGAAGGAAGAAAGCTCAATAGTTCTGCTTCTTTCAGGAGCTCCGCACAAAGTATCCGTTATGGTTGGTTTGTATGAATCAGTTTTCAAACGATTCAGAAGTTACATTTGGTTCTTATGTCTCCTGAGTCTCTTCTAAATACCAAGTTTTTGGAAAATAGATGGACCTTGTACCCTAAGGTTGGCCAAAGAGTAGCTGTTTCTCCAAATAATGCCCCTCTCAAATATTCAGACACAATAATGAAAAATATAACTGGATAAATTGATTCTTAATTATTCCTGTAGAAAAGAGGAATGTCAAAGATAATAATAGCTAATATTTATTGAGTGCTTATTAGGTGAGAGAACTGCTCTACCTGCTCTATATGCATTAACTCAATCTTCACAACCACCATTTAGGTAGGCACTAATATGAGCCTAATCTACCGGTGAGGAAGTTGAGGTATGACAAGCTAGGTAACTTGGGAAAGGTCACACAGCCAGTATAGTGGTAGTCTAGGTATTAAAATTTAGGCTGACTAGCAATCAACTCCTCCCCTTCAAAGTCCTGCAAGAGTTCTACCATGCCCCTTTATCAGCTGAAGTAACAGGCATTTTTATTATGCACAATTGCATTTATTATTAACTCACTGGTTCGGAATGGATGACAGAATGATTTCTGGTTCATGTAATTTAATTCTCTTAAAACACCTTAGGCAATTGACTATGTGAAGTGATTAAAGAAAAAGTGCCCCCTTAAAAAACAAAAATCTTAAAAATAAATAAAAATTAAAAAAATCTGGCCAACGATGCTTCACATTTAACCATTAGAGAATTTTTACTTAAAGCACTATTTTTATTTTAATTAATTCAGGCTGTGAAGTCATTTATACCTTAATGTGAGTGAAGTGATCGGATTCTTTTCCTGAAAGACATTTAGGGAAAAAAGAGAATCCTAAAGAACTAACAATGGGAGATTTGAAGGTAGACACAGTTAAATCTATAATTTTGGGTTGGGTTGGCCTTAACTATGATTCTTATGTGTGAAAAATCAATTAAGGTAAAATTGCCTTGGAAGACAAAAAAAACTCTTCTAAGAACTACAATTTCATGAAAGAAAAGTGATTTCTTTGGATGCATTATTTTTCCTTCTTTAAAAAATGTTTTCATTTGAAACATTTCAAATATACAAAGAAGTAAAGAGAGAGATACAATGAACCCCAATATACCCATTACCAAGATTCAACAATTATCATGATTTGGGCATGTATGCTTTATCGAGTCTTCTTTCCTTTTGGTCCTTTCTCATGTTTTCTTCTTTCCTTCTTCCCTTCCTTCCCTACTTCTAAAATTTTTGAAAGTAAAACCACAGACATTATTTAATTTTATTCCTATATACTTCAATATGCATTTCTAAAAAAATGGATGTTTTCTAACTACTAACATTCCTTACAAATTAACAATAATTCCATTTACTATATAACCCATTATAAAAATTTCCCAGCTGTCCTAAACAATATCATTTATATTTTGGTTTGTTTGAATCAGTTTTCAAATGATTCGGAGGTTGCATTTGGTTCTTGTGTCTCCTGAGTCTCTTCTAATCTAGAGCAGTTCCCTCTCCCATTTTTATCTTCATGCCATTGATGTAGCAGAAGCCTGCACAGCTGAGCTGTCGAATATTCCAAGTTTTAAATTTTACTGTTTGTGTCCTTGTATTATCACTTACTATGTTCATTTATACCATACATTTCCTGCAAATGTTATGGGGAGGCTTGATTAGATTCAGGTTCAGTTCTTTAGCAAAAAGTATTTAATAGGTGGTATATTCGTTTTCTATTGTTTCTTTAACACATTACCACAAATGTAGTGGCTCAAAAACAACAAATTTTTTCCCCTTCAGTTTCATAGGTTAGAATCCCCACATGGATCTCACTGGGCTAAAATCAAGGTTTGGGCAGGACTGCCTCCCCTTATGGAGTATCTAAGGGAGAGTTTCCTTCCTTTATGCAAATTCTAGAGGCTGCACATATTCCTTGGCTCTTGACTTCCTTTCTGCCATCTTCCATACCAGCAGGTTGAATCCTTACATTGCGCCATTCTGACCTCATCTTCTGCCTCCGTCTTTACTCTTTTAAGGACTCTTGCGGTTACATTCAGTACAATTGGATAATCCAGGATAATCTCCCTGTTTTAAGGTCAGCTAATTAGCAAACTTAATTCTATTTGCAACCTTAATTCCCCTTTGCCATGTAACCTACCACATTCACAGTTTCTGGTATTAGGACATGGACATCTTTTGGGAGGGTGAGGGCAGGCATTATCCTGCCTACCAAAAGTGGTAATTCATTTGGATCATATCAAGAGGCCCATAATGTTTGGTTATCTTCCTTTTAATCTTGCTAAAATGTATCATACATTTTCATCTGATAGTTTTATCTTTTGATAATTCTTGGTTGGACCAACTAGGGATTGCAAAATGATTTTATAATTCTATCATTTATTTGCTGGAAATCTGCTGGAAATCTTCCTTAAAGAATGACCGTCCTTCATTAATTAGAAATATTGGATATCCAGAAAGACATTTCACACTGCAAAGCCAGGATACTTAATTCTCTTATTTAAATTACCATTTTTCAAAGTAAGGAGTTGGTACCCTCATTAATTCCAGTGTGTTCAATTTATCATTTTTGTTATCTTCATGAACTCATTGGTTTTTATATATGCAAAGAGAATTGCATTTATTCTTTTTGATGCTCAAATTGCCTTATCTGGCCATTGGGAGTTCCTTTATATTGACTCCTGTGTCCTTTTGACACATTCTTTAATCTGTGATAGGTTCCTTGCTTTCTGGCACAACCAAATACTAGACACCTTGTTTATTTCCTACCCCAGCTATTCCTCCAAAGAGCTACAGTTCCTTTTAGTGTGGAATGGTAGATAGAGCCCACAATCTGGGTGATAAGTGTGCTCACTGATATTGGGCTGGGTTGTTTCTAAGCAATAAATGTTTTTGTAAGAAAAAAATTGCTGAGTTTATACTATATCTGATTCAAATTTAATATTATGAGTTTTTAGATTCTTTGTTTTTAAACTCTGTTCTTTTTTTCTTGCACTGAAAAACTCTTGGTTCCTAACAACATTAACAGAATTACTTATCTATACATTCCTAAAGAAGTTATTAGAGTTTCATAATAATAAGAATATTACTACTAACAATTAGACTATATTCAATTTAAGGTATTTTGAATTAATATCATGGAAATATCAAGTTGGGGGGAACCTGGGTGGCTCAGTCAGTTAAGCATCTGCCTTTGGCTCAGGTTATGATCCCAGGTTCCTGGGATCGAGCCCTACATCGGGCTCCTTGCTCAGTAGGGAGCCTGCTTCTCCCTCTCCCTCTGCCTGCTGCTCCCCCTGCTTGTGCTCTCTGTCAAATAAATAAAAATAAAATAAAAAAAAAAGAAATATCAAGCTGTGTGGATACTATAGAATGACTATTTGTGTTCTCCCAAAATTCATATGTGGAAATTTAATCCCCAGTGTGATGGAATTTGGAGGTGGGGCCTTTGGGAGGTGATCAGGTCATAAGGATGGAACCCTCATGAATGGGATTAGTTCCCTCATAAAAGAGACCCCAGAGAATTTCCTTGCCTCTTCCACCATGAGAGGATACAGTGAGAAGACAGCTATTTACATACCAGGAGGCAAGCTCTAATGAGACACCATATTTGCCAGGGCATTGATCTTGGACTTCCCAACTTCCAGAACTATACGAAATAAATGTTGGTTGTTGAAGCCACCCAGTCCATAGTATTTTTGTTATAGCAGCCTGAACTAACTAAGACAGTGAGGATTATAAAATATCACTTATCCATCTCCTTTCTCAGGTGAGAAATGCATGGAAATGATCTTGGAACAATATTTAATTTTTTTTCTGTCACTTTCCTTAAGCTTTCCTCCTCTGCTCACCTCCCCCTCACTCACCTCTTCTTCCTTTCTTCTCAAAATACCAGGAAGCTAACTAATGAAGTTTAAGCTTTACAGGCCCCACTTATACAAGCCCCTTCCAAGGCTCCAATGAGATCCCTAGAAATGTGTTTCCTTTTGTAGTTTTGGGGGTATGTTTTTGTAAATTTTGCAAAGGTAAGAAATTTTACCACATTCAATCAAGAATTTCTTCTTAGCCAAATGTCCCCTCATATATGGTGGCACTGAGTGCCTACAGGCACCACAATGAAACTAAGTTGAGGATACAGTAGTTTGGGTTAGCAAGGCATATTTATTGGTTCACAATCATTTCCACATCTAGATAAGTTGTTGCTCCCTGCTCTGGTGCAGGAATGGCTTCCAGGAATAGTTTGCTGATTCATCCTGCATAGTGACATGAAGGGATAGGGCCCAAGGTCACATTATATCACATGTGAA